CTGGAAGGAGCTGCAGAGATCGCCGTCTGATCTCCCTCCTTCCTCCACAGGCGAGGAAACAGAGGCTTAGGGAGGTTGCCTGCCTCCCCCTGGACTCCCTGCAGGCTCCTGGGGCTGGAACCCAGACCCCTTTGGAATGGCCTTGCCCCCAGGGACAGCTCTGACCCAGAGGGGAACAGCAGCAGAGTCTACAGCCAGCTCACACCTGTTCAGAGCTGCTCATAAGAATTTCCAAGGAGATGCGGAGGGCAGGAGAGGAGGGAAGGAAGGAGGAGAGACTAAGCAGGCCCCAAGGGAGAAGCACCTTTCACGTTGTTTCTGTTCAAATCAGACTAGCAACCTGTGTGCTCTGAGCCCCTCACTGTCCTCCAGTGCTGTTAGTAGGGCCTCTGTCCCACCCCCACCCACCTGCTGCCTCAGTTCTCGCCTCACTGGCCCCACTACCTCCCGTTGCAGCCCTGCCGCAGCCAGAGAGGCCTTCACTTTTCGGCATCGAGGCTGTTGCCATGGGCCGGGATGGGGCCCAAGTTCAGTGCCGTGGAGGCCCCCTCCCTACTCTCATGATGAGTAAAACCTGTATTTGTCTTTTAAGCAAAGGATGTCTCAGTGTCTCCTCAATAGATGTGGGAGACAGTTGTGGTCTTACCATCTTTTCCTGTTATCTCAGAAGGGATTCGTGGTGCCAGCCCCCCTGCTGTCCCGGCCTTTCCTAGCTCTGCCTCCAGCCGGGCAGGCTGGCGGGGCTCCCTTTTGAATTGCGTCGCCCTGGGCATTCTGTTTTGGTGGTCTCCTCTCGGCCAACCTTCCCCTCTTCCCCTGTAAGCAGCTTGCACACACAGCTTCCCTGCAGCCAGGCAGCTGCGAGAAAATGCGTTTACAGGAACTCTCACCCCAAGCACAGGATGACTCCACTCCCTCTGCAAAAACACAAGCGGGACCAGAGCTGCCCACCCATCACACAGCCCGGCCCAGGTACCAGCCGCTGCTGGGGCTGCAGAAGCCCTGTACCTGGCGAATCTCATGGCCTGGAATCAGGTGGCGTTGAAAATAAGAAGGAACCACACATCCTGTTTATTAGCACTTTGAAAAGAGATCTAGAAAAACAGCACTGGCCTCACTTTTAATTCATTCTCCTTCAAGCTGAATTGAAGGAGTGGCTGGAGGCCCATGGTGATCCCATGACTGTCTCTCAGGATTATGGTGAAGTCCAGCTTCTAAAGAATAGTATAAGGCTATCTCAAGACAGATAGGACCATGCAGAGGAATCGTGGCTGCTGTATCCCAGAAAGTGTTTCTTAGAGAGAACTGGAGCTGAAGACAGCATGGGCCATCCACCCCCTGGAATCTGCCTGAAGTGGGTGTGGCCCTGGGCTCAGATGATTCTTCCAGTACCCAGAGTCTGGCCCATATGGGGCTGGTGTGCAGCAGTGGGTTCCAGGTGCAGAGTGTATGCAAGACCCTGTCTGAGCAAGGGTCCAGGAGCAAATTGTCGCCTTGGGGGGCTGCCCTGATTGTGTCCCTGTGCAGCTGAGTGTGAGTAGAACCTGGAGCAGCCCTCTAGTCACTCACATAAAGCAGATGATGTAGAAGCCAGATGAAGAAACTGAGGCATGGAGAGCTTAAGCAGTTTATACTAGGCTATCCAGCTGTTTTAGGGCAGAGCCAGGGTTTAAACCAGGCAGTCAGGCTCCAGAGTCCGGGATCTTCCACACTGAGCTGCAGCTCAGCGAAGTGGAGACGAAAGCCAGACTGAAGAGAGAGCTGTCTTAGCAAGCAAGGCAGGCAGGGAAAGAAGAAACATGGAAAGTGCGCCCTCATACCAAGGCCAAGTCCAAAAGCTGCTGCCTGGGGCAAAGCTGGGCTGGTCAGAAAGCAACATGGCCATAGAGCAGCACCCTTACAAACAGACACTACTGCTAGGGGTTGAATTGTGTCACCCAAAAAAGATAGGTTGAGGTCCTAACCCCCAGTACCTCAGAATGTGACCTTATTTGAAAATAGAGTGTCTGCAGATATAAAGCACTTAACTAGGGTGGACCCTAACTCAGTATGACTGGTGTTCTTATAAGAAGACACAGAGAGCAGATGGTCTATGAACACAGACACACAGGGGAGACACCGTGTGAAGGAGAGGCAGAGACTAGAGTGATGCATCTCCAAGCCAAGGCATGCCTGGGACTATCAGAAGACAGGAAAAAGCATGGCTCTGTTGACGCCTTGATCTCAGACGTTTAGCCTCCAGCACTGTGAGACAATTTCTGTTGTTTAAACCACACAGTTCATGGTACTTTGTTGCAGCAGCCACAGGAAACTAATACAACCACTTTCACATTCTCCAGCCTGAGATGCTCAGACTGACATCCGTGATGTACCTCCAACCTCTTATTACCATCTTGAGTCTTGGAGGCATTTTATTGCCCCAATAGCCAATGACCTCACTCCCAAAATTGAAATAAGCAAACAGACTAGAATGTATTTTGGGGCAGTTGCCTCAAGTACAGCAGCAGCAAGCCTCCAGCGAGCAGCCAGCATTCACAGTCTCTTTTCCCAGATGCCCTTGGGTTTCCCAAAGCAGCCACCCTGGGAATGCTGAGCCCAGCTGACTTGTGTCTATCCTGTATCTTCCCTGATGGACTCCTCCCTCTGCAACACCCCCCTGGAGGCTGAGGAGGCCAGAGCTGCTGGCCATCTGGAGGTCAGGAAATGGGGGGCCTGGGCAGAAGAATGGAGGTTTGCAGAAATTGCCAATGTCTCCCCAGTGAGTACAGTTATGATAGTGGTAAATGCCACCAATGAAAGAAAGTAGTGTGTCCATCAGTCACCATTCAGCATCCATTGGAGCTAATTTTAGAAGAAAGGGAATTATTAAATATGAGTACCAAATAGCTCATAGAATCATGGGGGAGGCTGAAGAAACAACCTAAGTTGGGATTTCAGGAATGATCCCGAACGCCAAGCTGCAGAGCCAGGCCACCAGGGGAGCTGCTCCAGTCCCCTAGCTCCAGAGGAGGCAGTGCTGCCACCGCATGGTCAGGAAGCTGCCCCTGCGTGTTCACACCTGCATAACGGACACCCAGGGCCCCAGGACTCCTGCCACAACTCCTCGTGGCAGCAGAAACAGCAGAAGCACGGCCTCTGCTTCAGGTCTGCCTTCTCATTGGTACGTTGGAAAGGAAGAGTGGGAGTTGTATTTGGAATCCTAGGTGCAAAGGGGTCGGGAGGTACAGAAGGCGTCTGGGAGGGGAGTCAGATATCCAAACCATAATGTATAATGAAGGGGGGTCACTGGAGGGCCCCTGGACCACCAGGGGTTTAGTGAAGATGGGCCTGCAGAAGTGACATTACAAGGTGATCCTGCAGAAGTGGATGGCTATTAGCCAGGCAAGGACGATCTGATTTACATAAAAGTCACCTGGGCAACGTCAGGGTGCAGACAGCAGGGCCCCACCTCAGACACTGACTCAGTGGGACTGGAGCCGAGCCCAGTTTGCTGCCATCCTCCCCTACGATGCTCTCGATAAAATTCTCCAGTGTCCTTTAGGTATGTTCTGTTCTTTTTGATCTTCAAGATAAACCTATGAAACAGCCCCGTCAGGTGTTTTTACCTGTACAGAGAAAAAAAAGGTGTGGCAAAGGGAAGATAAGCCACTTTCTCAGAGTTCACCAATGTGCTCGAGTGAGAACCTCTGCTCACCACCGTGACCCCACTCTCCACTGCTTATTTCCATCTGATTAAGAACAGAAAAGCAGGAAGGCAGCAGATGTGTGATCTGGGAGACCTGAATCCCAGCATCGGCTCTGCCTCAGCCCGAGCCCGCTGCTGAGGTCCCGGGCCAGCCTCTTCACCTCTCTGACTCTGTTTCCTTATTTGTAAGGTGAGGTGGCTGGAATGCATTTGTAAAGTTTTTTTGGTCAATAGGATCCTTCTTTCAAGAGAAGTGTTGTGTGTATCTACATATAAGACAGAAAAAAGCAGAGCAACTATGGTTGCCCCAGGGGAGATCCAGACAAGTCCCCCTCACCCCTAGAATATGCATGCTTGGGGCTCACAGGGCTTCAGCCCTCAACAAAGGCCCACGACCTTTTGCTTGAGCCTTCTCACGTCATTGCTAACCTCAAAACTTTTCATCTGCACAGGAAGAGCCGGAGGCTGTCCCTGGGAGTCCAGGGTGCCTGGGTGTGGGCAGATACTGTATGATTCCATTTGTATGAGGTACCTAGAATAATCAAAATTATAGAGACAGAAAGTACAATGGTGGTTGCCAGGAGGAGCTGAGGGGAGGGGATGGGGAGTTGTGTAATGGGTATAGAGTTTGAATTTTGCAAGATCATAAAAATTCTGGAGATGGATGGTGGTGATGGTTTCACAACAATGTGAATATACTTAATGCCACTGAACTACACTCTTAAAAATGGTAGAAATGGTAAACACTATGTTATATATTTTTTCCCACAATTAAAAGAGTAGTTAACATTTGTTGAGTACTTGCTGTATGCCAAGCACTACACAGAGCACTTTACTTCTCACGTGGTTCTCAAAATAGCCAGAGAAGGAGGCACTGTTACTGTTTTCATTTTACGGATGTGGAAGCTGAGGTTTGGTGTCATTTAATAAGTCTCCCACAGCCAGACAACTAGTGATGGTCAAGTGTGGATTGCACCCAAATCTATGCCGGTGAGACTGCAGTGTGTAAATGACAGGCTGAAACACAGGAGCTGACAGGGGGACTCCCCTCCCTGCCAGGCACTGACCCCTGAAGATCGAGAGGCCAGTGTTTCTGAACGTCACCTGGTCCTACTAAGAGCAGGAACTTGGTTCCCCTCTACCTTCAGAGGCCACAGCCTTGTTCAGGCTCCTGGATTCAGCAGAACCCTCATTGTGGAGCTCACCTGGGTTCCCCATTACATGGTGGTGTTGAAGTCATGGGTTGGCCATAAATTGCACATAATTATTGCGCAGGACCCTGTAAGGAGTGACCTTGTTGCCCGATCTGTTACAGACCACAGTAATCGACTACGTGAAGCCCTCAGATCTCAAGAAGGACATGAATGAGACCTTCAAGGAAAAGTTTCCTCACATTAAGTTAACACTCAGCAAAATAAGGAGGTATGTGGGCATTGACATCCCCTTGAACTTTCCCTTCAATCCTTCTCCCAGCAGGCATTAAACGTATGCTTTGTGTGATGGTTCAGGTGAAATATGGGCACATTCAGCAAAAAGAGGCTCATGAGATGCTGGCTGCTGGTGCCTCTGAGAGAGCCAAGAGAAGCAGGGCAGAAGGCAGGTCTCTTGACACGAGCTGACAAGGATCAGGGAGAGGTGCCTTCAGTTTAAGAATCATTTCACACTCTCTGCAGCTCACAAGTTCAGTGTGACTTATGTTATGGAAAACTCAGAGAGAATAGGAAACATTGGGTTCCCTGCTTTCTCAAAAGACAAAAGATTGTGGGAAAAGAGCTGGTATGGTAGGGTTTGAGATAACCCTTTACCCACAATCATCTGCCCAGAAGTGACAGCCAAGCCCTATCTTGAAGAAGTTAGCAAAACAGCCAAAGCAAAATCAGGCCGGTGTTTCCCCTGTAGCTGATTGGATTGACTCTGGTGACTCACGTCTGCCGGCAAATAGTCAAGAGGACTTGCCTGGCTGGGCGGGAGAGAAACTGACTTACGGTGGTATCTATGTTCCAGGACAGCACTGTGTGTGTGGAGGGGGGGGTAACAGCGGCTAGACTGTGTATAACAACATGATGTGGGAATAAGTGCCAACGTTTATGTGCACATGAATCTTAATACTGATTTGATGCTGGCATGTTTGGTTTGATAAGCCAAAGAGGTAAGAAAAATTAAGTATTCTCATTTGGTCCTCTTGCTGGGCAGCTTTCCTAAACACACTGTTGCTGTGCTCTTAGCCTAACCCTTCTCTGACGTAAGTAATGACCATAACCATTATTCAGCAGAGCTGACACCAGCTACCTAATTTATTTCTATATTCCTCTCGCTGGGATGACCGTAGTTCCCCTCATAGTTTCCCTCTTTCATTTGGACAGCTCTCCAAGTTTCCAGAGAGACCCTCAGACATCCACTAGGGCTCGATGTGACCCTTTGTGACCTGTGTTGACATGGTCTAGACGACTTCACCAGCGAGAAGAGTCTGAAGCCCCAGCAACTTGAGTGTATTCCTCACACATTACTTAGCTTTCTCACTCGCAGGGATTGAGTCCCATTTCCCATCAGCCTTCTGAGAATGAGGAAGGAAATGCTTTCTAGATGAAGTCGCCTTTTTCTATGGGGCCCCTGGTACTCGAAGTTCTAATAAGACTTCCCTCCTTCCTGCCTTTCTCCAGCCTGAAGCGAGAAATGCGGAAGCTCGCTCAGGAGGACTGTGGCTTCGAGGAGCCCACGGTGGCCATGGCCTTTGTCTACTTTGAGAAGCTCGCCCTCAAGGGAAAGCTAAACAAACAGAACCGGAAGCTTTGTGCTGGAGCATGTGTGCTGTTAGCAGCCAAAATCGGAAGCGACCTCAAAAAGCACGAAGTCAAACATCTAATTGATGTAAGTGGCCCATGTCCTGATAGCTGGGGTTGCACTCACTTTCCTCCAGTTTATTCTCACAGCCCCGGAAACCACTGTAACGGCAAGGGGTCTTGTGGACGGTGTGACCCGCAGAGTGCCCTTCAGACACATTGGCTCAACAGACCTTGGCTTCCTGTGGCCTTGGTTGCCTCCTCTTTGGGGGAGAGTGTCTCTTTCTTTTAAAGGAGAGCCTCATCACAGTAAGGAAGCACTGATCTCCTTAGACAAATATATGAATGCCTGTTTCAAAATACTATGTATTCATAGAAAACTTGAGGTATGGGAAAGCAACAGATTAGGAGACAGTTGCCATTGAAGAGACGGTCTGTTACAGTTCCCAAGAGGAGGAGTGTCTTAGCTCACACTGCCATAATAAAATACACAGACTGAGTGGCGTAAACAACAGTCATTTATTTCTCACAGTTCTGGAGGCTGGAAGTCCAAGATCAAAGTGCCAGCTACTGCCCTATCTGGTTTTGCTCAGTGGTTAGAGCATCGGCTTGGGGACTGAAGGGTTCTGGCCGGCCAAGGGCACATACCTTGGTCACAGGCTCCATCCCCGGCCCAGTAGGGGTGTATGTGGGAAGCAACCAATCAATGTGTCTCTCTCACATCAATGTTTCTCTCTCTCTCTCTCTGAAAAGCAATGCAAAAAATATCCTCAGGTGAGGATTAAAAAAAAGAAATGCCAGCTATTTCAGTGTCTGGCGAGGACTCTCTTCCTGGCTTGCAGATGGCTACCTTCTCACTGTGTCCTCACGTGGCAGAAAGGGGGGGGTACACTTTGGTTTCCTCTTACATCTCAAGTCCTCAAGTCACATCTTGAGGACTCCATCCTCATGAGCTCCTCTAAACAAATCACCTCCCAAAGTCCACACTTCTAATATCACATTGGAAGTTAGGATGTCAACATATGAACTTTGCGGGGGACACAAACATTCAGTCCATAACAAGGGGCCGCACCATGCCATGGGGATCATGCAGGGAAGTACCAGGGTTGGTCAGGGGTCAGAGGGAGAGGGAGACCTGTGGGCAGGAGACTTTATTGTGGTTTCTGCGGGAAGAAATGGTCAAGGCAGGGTAAGTAGGCTTAAGACTGTCTAATTGAATCATTTCAGTGGGCTCTGGGACAGAGGGCCTGTTCTAGTTTCTGGTTGTCTGGTACCCAGCCCTGGGTGATCAGGGCGGGTGGATAGTGGCTTAGAGAGTGAGAGCCGGTAGGGTAGGTGGTTGGGATGTGGAGTCTAGATTGGTCAGATTGCATCTGGAAAGTGTACTCACCCGGGAGTTGTTCCCTTTCTTCAGGAATTGGCTAACCCTCACTAGGGTCCTCATGTACAAAACAAAGACCAAACTAAGCTCACCCATTTCTGAACTTTCCCCAAGGTTATTTCTGTTGTAGGTGATTTGCTATGGTTTTAGTCTTATCTCTAAGCCCAAATAACCTAGCTGGAACAGTGGAGTTTGAGTCCCAGTTTGGTTTGAGTCTCGGCGTTGTCATTTACTGCCCATGTCATCGTGGACAAATTACTTAACCCCATGAATGTGTTTTCTCATCTGTAAATGGAGATAAATGTGAGATATGGAGAGACCAAATGATGTCATGGGATGTATGTGAGACCCCTGCAGACCGTGGGTCCTCAGGAAGGCTCGATTCCTTCTCCACCAGGACCAAGAGCAGGAAGCATAGCTCATGCCTCCCTTTCCTCCTCTACAGTCTTGCTCACGATCGGTTTCTGTGTAAACACTCACCCCCTGATGGGTAGAGACTCTACATGTAAAGAAAACCTAGGCTTTTCATTTTAAAGCTAAAACGCTTTTGGTTTTCTCTAATTCTTTTGCAGAAACTGGAAGAGAAGTTCCGGCTGAATAGACGAGAACTGATTGCCTTTGAATTCCCAGTGTTAGTGGCCTTGGAGTTTGCCCTTCATCTGCCAGAGCACGAAGTCATGCCCCATTACAGACGCCTGGTCCAGAGCTCCTAGCATAGGCCCCCAGGAGGGCCGGGACCACTTCCGCGAGCTCGGTGGAGCTGCACTACTACTGGAAATGCAGAAATAGAACTCAACATACCGAACTTTTCCCTCTCAACAAACTCGTCGTTTTTGTGTAGAAGCAGTGCCGGAATCTTTTCAGGGAGTCTTTGGTCTCGCTAGCAGAGATGAGCTGTGAGCTGGTCACTACTCAGCAGGGGAAGGGGAGACCCGGGCCGGAGATGCAGAGGCCCTTCCAGCTCTCCACTAGCAAGAGTTCTTAGCCATCTCCATCCCAACCCTCCTCCGGGGCACACACAAACCTTGCAAGCGTGGTCCAGAACCTTCTCTCCAGACCCACCCCAACTCAGCACGTGAAGTTCTAGAGCGGAGAGGGGAAGGCAATTTGCAGAACTTGGGGGAAAGCTTTTAAAAGATACCCTCACAGTGTCAAAAGAGCGTGCCAATCTATTTTTGTATCAGCTGTTGAAGTGCACTTTCCCCCGGGGCGTGTGCCTGAGTGAGTGTGACTGTCTGAGAGGCCGCATCAGCCCTGTCCCAAAGCCGGCGCCACCCTTAGAGCAGGCCTCAGCCTGGGGTCCCGAGCCAGGCTGACCTGGCACTTATTTCTGGATAACCTCTGGATAATAATCACTCTCTCTGTACCAGATGGTCTGACATCCTCTGCCCTTAGAAAATGACCTTGTTTCTGTTACTTCTACCACCCACGGGACAAAAGCAAGCTCTCGGTGTCGAATGGGTCCCGTGGGAAGGCGCGGAGTGTGGCGCTCTGTACCCTCCCGCCGCGTACCTTGTGAATATATTTAACCTTCGCACTTTCCCACTGGGGAGACAGCCGGCGTTGCGCTCCGTGGTGTGTGTACTCCTGTGCTCTATGTTAGAGTGCAAAATAAGCACATTTGTTGTGCTACAATATATAAGTGTTTTATAGACGTCCATAACAAGGGTAAAATACATGATTAGTATTTTGAGGCTTTTGACAGCTGGGACCAACTGCATCCTGAGCTGAGGTTGTGTCCGTTGAAGAGGCAGTGACTTTTATCGCCACGTATACGGGGCTGTTATTACGGAACTTTAACTGTGACTTGTACTGACTTGCTGGGACCACCTGGACGTCACCTCGCCATCTCTACATCACCACCTTATAACCGCAAGAGAGAAGTGCCCACTGGGGTTCACCTGTCTGGAGAAAGCCTGTGGCCATGTAAAAAGAGAATTAAAATATTTTATTGTTTCTATATACATATATGTGTATGTTTAGACACACATGTCTCACTAGTCACCCCTGGCCCTGCATTACTGATTCATCTGCCGCCATTCCCACCGCAGATGTCACCCATGGACTTGAAGCTTCTCACATCACCCAGAGAAAGGGCGCTGGGAGAACTGAGGGAATCCAGCTTTAGTTAGCAGAGCTTGAAAGAATCTGACAGTCACACAGGAGAGAAATTCTAGGAGCTGCTGGCAGAGAGCAAACTGGATGGATGCTCACATTTTCCAGAGTCGTAGATTTAGCTGAGTTTAGTCCTAAATATTTTACTAACAGATTTCCGTAGCTGAGTGCAGTTTAAGACTGATTTTGTTGGAGGGCATGATGAATGTGATCTTTTTGGCTAGATCAGCTAACATTTAAGGGGCACCTACTGTTTATGAGGCAAAGGTGGGAAGGATGCACAAAGCATTCAAAGCATCTCCATCACCTGAAATACAACATGCCCTTTGCCTTCCTCTCCTGGTGTCTGTCACTTGCCGCTCTCTGATGAGCCACCCTCGTTCTCAGCCCGCTCAGCTCCCTGGCAAGTGCCTGATGGGTGGAAAGCTTCTGAGAAATGGGGCCATCGACATCTAGAAATTGCACCCTGCCCTTTGTCTACCTTGAGGCTTCTGCCAAGCTCCAGGGCATCCGATCAATGATAGGCCACCAGTCCAGACATGGGGATGACAGCCTGTGTGTCCTTCCTGTGTCTTAAAATCAAGCAAATATTCTTGGATGTGGGGCTTTTTGTTCGGTTTTATCTTTTACTTGGTAGACTTAAATTGTTGGTCCATGTTTTTAAAAAGTCTCCTTAAATTTTATACTCCATTGTGGCCTATGGATTTGTTGAGTGAGGAGTTTTATTGGTTTTAATTTAATTGGGGGTGCAGGTGGGTGTTGAAGATGAAAGATTTTTGTCAAAAGGTTTCCTTTTGCTAGTCCATAACATGAGCTTTCTGAAGGGAAAAAAAACGGCTCAGACGGGGTGGGGATGGGGAGAGCATAGCTCACTGCTCAGTGATGTGGTGTGCATCTCAGGCACTTGCCCAGCCCTGGGCTTTGGCAAGGAGTCAAGGAGACCCGAGTTTGTGTGGGGAGGAGGCCACTCAGCACTGTTCTAGGCCACTCAGCTCTACCCTTCCACCTTCCATGGCTCCTTGCAAGCCTCGCTCCCTCTCGGGCCTGCCCTGAAGCCTCTCCAGCCTCCGCCCCCCCCAGATTCTGTGGGGCAGCCCTGCCCAGCCACATGCTCCTGGGCACAGCACTAACCGCTCTGCCTGACTTGGTTTCCCCAGACTGTCCTGGGGGTCCCAGGGCTCTTCTCTTCTAATCAGCCTTGGCTGTTAAGTCAGGTAACAGATGGGAACAAACCAAGCACAGGCTGGTGCAGCTGCCCTTGGGAGGAAGCAGGCAGCTGCTGCTCTGTCCTGAAGCAGCTGGCCCGCCACGCGCCCTGCCTGGGAAGGCTCTGGTCCCTACCCCAGAGTGCCTGCCCTTGGGGCCTGGCCTGGGCCAGCCCAGTGACACTTAGATCTAAGCCACTACTTCCCTTCTTTCCCCCTAGTCAAACCCGTATTAAAGCAGGAAACTCACATCAAAGCCGTTCATTTTCCTTATTCGTTGGGGGGTTAGGAGGGGGTTTGTTTTTTGATCAAAAATTACCCTACCATAGTTTGTCATCCTCCCAGCAGGTGCATTTTGGGGTGATCCCTTAAGCTACAAAAATCACACCATCCCAGGGATGGGGAACCTTTTTTTCTTCCAAGGGCCATTTGGATATTTATAACACCATTCGCGGGCCATATAAAATTTTCAGCTTAAAAATTAGCTATGCAAAAAGCTCCTAGGTTTATTGAATTTCGAGTCCCGCCTGCGGTTGCCTTGGCAGGGCCAGACCAAATGATTTCGTGGGCAGTGTACGCCCGCCCGCCTGGCCGTTTCCCACCCCTGCCCTAGACCCTGCCTCGCTGGTGTGGGAGCGGGATGTCGGGAGTCCTTCCCTCTCCTGTCCCTCAGCCCTGCCCCCTGCATTCCCCCAACAGCAAATAAAGCTGTTTACTGCCCCTGCTGCTGAATTCTTTCTCGCGCAGACATTTCCGGTTGAGGGCCTGACATCCAGCCCTCGCCGGCCTGGCTGGCCCCGTAACCCATCGGAACCTGCCATCTGCAAATGCAGAGGAGGCGCAGGCTGGAGGACAAAGCAGAGCTGAGCCAGGAAATTCTGTTACCTGTTAATTGTGTTACCTGCCCAGCTATGGAAGAAGTCCTTCAAAGAAAGGGGTTT